CTCTTTCCTGCCCAGGAAGGGGATCAGATGATCTGTTGAGGTCCCTTCCAACCTAACATCTATGAATCTATGAACTGCACGGTAGCCAATGCCATCGTCATCATGTCAGGCCCCATAGCTTGGGCACTCAGTGCCTGGACCTTCATGGTCATGCATGAATAAGCTTTTCATGAATCGGCTGCGTTTTGGTTAACCAGATGAATTCAGATTAGAGTTTGGGCTTAAAAAAAAAAAAAATAGCAAGGGTGATTAAAATACTTGAACCAGCCACCAAGGGAAGTTTGGATTCTCCACGGCAGCCATTTCTCCAACCAAGACTGGGTAACTTTCTGGAAGCGATCATGTAGCCAAAATGAGTGGAACGTAATGGCTTCTGATATACAGGAGTTCAGACCAGACAATCTACCAGTCCTTGTCGGCCCTCAGCTCAATGACTCTACAAAGCCCTACTATAAGAACATGCCGAAAAACAACAAAGGCTAAAATAACTTGTCACTTCATCCCCCCCAGTGCTACTACCATAAAAGCAACTAAATTGCACAGAAAGAACTAAGAACAGAGACCTCACACTACATTAGTTAGATCCACTGTACGCCGAGCCAAATTCTTCCCTCTTGAAGTTTGTGGATTGAATCCAGCCCACAATCCGGACATGAAATGTGCTATGTAAGTGATAAGTTTTTCACAGTACAGCATGAAGTGCCTTTCAACTTCTAGATAAACCAACAGGAGTGGGAAACCAGAGACAGGGATAAAAGCATCCCCCGAAGAAAACAAAACAGGACACGATTTCCTTCAGCCAAACTGGGAAACACAGAATATTTCTATTAGGGAAAAGCAGCACTATTCAAGAGTCCCCCTTCCAGTCCCCCTTATTCTCTCCCAAATACAAATTTTTCCAGACCAGGTAATAAAACAACTGGAAACAGGCATAGCAACAAAGAATATAACCAAAAGGACAGAAATCGCGGATTCTGATGGTTACCTGGTTGAATACGTGAGAAAGGTAATAACAGTACTAAAGCCCCTTAATCACGTTCAGTCATCCACATTGCCAGATGTGCTGTGTGCCTTGCTATCATAATGGTACTTCATCAAAATGACAGAAATGTGCGCCTTTTGCTGGCCTGACACCCTACCCAGGCTACTAAGAAAGCTTTAGACAGGGTGGAGTAACAGGTTTATTTCCAGGCCCCGAGACCTGTGGAGCAGGACTCTCCTTTGTAACCTGGGCTGGAGCTAAAGCTTGAATGGAGAATCTGGCGCTTCCTAATCACTCACCGCCTGGGATGTCTACGAGACTGCTGGACTCTTGGTGCTCGACAAGTCCTGGAGTTCCCCAAAAACAAACATCCCAACCAAGAGAAAGTGTTGGCTTTCTTGTATGCTCATACCCAATCCCTCCCTGTTTCTTCCTTTCCTTCATCTCCACACTCGCACACTAAACCCTAACCCAATGTATCAACTTCTTTTTTGCCACATCATTTGGGGCTGCTCTCATGGTCTTATTCAAGGCTTCCCCTCCAACCGCTTCCCCAACAATACCAGCTTCTGTTATTCATCCCACCATGCTTTCTCTACAGGGGACTGCTACAGGGTACAACTGGAGGGGCTGAATGACGGTAGGAGTGGAGCAGGGAACTGGGTGCGTTTAGCTTCAGCAGCCCTATCAGCATAACTGAACAAAATGGTGCTCCATGTTCCCCGCTGGCTTCTTTGTCTTCCTTGAATTGTGAAGCCTTCAGGAAGAAGACTGTCCTGCTCTGTTAGCACAAGATTTAGTACCTTTGAAAAGGGCCCTGCTGGATCATCATTAACAGATCCTCGCCCAGGCTCAGCTGCCCTTTCATTCTCCAAGAAGTCAAGATCTCGCGGTTAGGATTTTCCATCGCTTATGGATGTTTCCAATACTACAGTGATGAGAGCCAGCGTGAAAACCTGGAAAGAGAGAGATAATGCGTAAAAGGGATTTAACGAGCATCTCTGCTGCTTCTGCTTTTCTCTACCCCTCCCAGCCCCCTCTTTCATCCCCAGCACCTCCGTTGCCAGCATCACTATTTTACCCAGCACCTCCCACGCATCCCGGGCCTCCCACGGGGGAGATCCAGGACAACACTCCATCCATCTTCCTAAGCCCGAGGAACCCCAATTTCTATATGGGCCAATCTCGTGCTTTTTTCCCTTCGTAGCATGAGTTATTTCTCGTTCCCACACACGCACAGCGCGTCGGCTCATTGCTGTATCAAACGTAGCCGCTGGGCTCTTTTTTGGCCCAGACTCGGGCAAGGATGTTCCCTGTATAAACAAGAACCCAAGCGTTGCTGTATCTCATACAGACGGCATGCAGCACATTGGCTCGCCTGCAGGAAACATATGTCACCAGTTAAACAGATCATGAAAGCTTCAATCACTTCCTTATGCTGGAGCCTGGCTGGGCTCTTACCAACAGCAGACATCTTCAGCTGCCTCGCTCGCGTGGTGGGGATGGGCTTTGGGACCTGCCACAAAAACCTTCTTTGAGAGGAGCCCAGGGAACAATTACGAGCGCACCCCGCCCCAAAGCGGGCGATGGAGCCAGCTCCAGGTGATGGCAGAGAGGCTGCAAAACTCTTATATCCTGCCACACACTTTCCTCCTTTCTCCAAGGAGAGGAGAGGACTCCACCCCCTCCAGAGGAGCAAGAAAAACAGCTTCCTGTCAGCGCCTCATTAGCTCCCCAGCAGCCCCTAGCCCCAGGCTCCATAATGCTCTGCTCGCCACAGGCAAACCCGCCTGCACTTCTCATTGCAGCAATATTCAAGATGGGAAAAGCCCCATCAGGTCCCAGGCCGCCCAAACCCAGGGTCCAGAGTACGTCTGGTCCCGTTAGCAAAGGCGTTAGCTCAGACCTCTGCTGGGGGCAGGAGGTCGGGGGGGGGGGGGGGCACAGCACCCAGCTCGCCCTGCATGCTGTCGCAGGCAAAGACAACTGGTAGCTTGGTACATCAGATCTAGCGCGAGGTGCCGTGCAACTGTGCAGCGGCTCTCCCTTGTTCCCTGCCGTGCCAGCCTTGGAGCATCCAAGTGCTGTCACTACCCGGCAGCAACAAGCAGCCACCCATGGCCTGGTACGCAAGCTGGCATCTCAGCACACTGGGTTATCCAGGGCACGCTGTTCACAGACCCATGTCTTCCCTTCTCAGTGGCATTTTCATAGGCTGAGCATAGATAGCTTGCCAAAGAGGAGGCCAGTCCTCAGTGCAACCCTTAGAGGTGGCACACAGCGAATACTGGGACCTCCCAGGAGTTGCACGCAGCCCCAAGAGGTGCTTTTCCAGACCTCTGCATATTCCCCTCCTCCAGTACCAATTGGGCAGGGTCCTTCACACAGTATAGTGCCAACCTCTGCTCCTTCCATAGCATCTGAATTAAGATGCCTGCAATAGCATAGACCTGGCACACACACAGCGAGGCTCACTCCCTCCTGTCTCGCAGCTGGCCCTCTTGCTTTCGCCTGTGCCACTGGGTGCAGGCAGCCCTTTGCACCTACCCGGCACAGCCGTGAGCGACTCCACCAGGGCCCAGGCAGGGAAGACTCAGAGCTGCAGTATTCTCAGCACCAATAACAGACGCTGGCACGTGTTGGCAGTGATGTGCCGCTCGCCGAATATGCCCCACCCAGATCTCTCTGGCTGTCGTTCGTGATGGGGTACTACAACACAATGCTTCCCATTTACATGCGACTTCTCACTGGGGTGGAAGTGGCCTTTTTGCTAGATCCTCGGTGTGGAGGATACGGATGCCTCCTCATCCAACCCTGCAGGCTGATGTGGAAACTCCCCGCCAGCTACTTAGCTGTGTGAACCAGCACCTGCTGCCTTCTGTGCCTCAAAGCCCCCTTCTGAACTGGCCTGACCTCACCTGCAAGGCAAAGCCCAGTTCCTAGCCACCCCTTTCTGCAGCTCCACTTCGGGGAAGCGCTTCCAGGAGCGGCTGCCGTGCACACGCGGGCAGAGATGTTGCAGCTCGCGGCACAGGGGGCTGGACGAGACAAAACGCAACGCCCAGCAGTAAGCAGAGCAAGCCGCTCTTTACAGATGTTAGGTGCACACCGCCAGAAGCCCTAAGCCCTTACTCAGGTTTTATTCTAGCAAAATCCTTCCAATTTCCAAGGCTGAGCAGAAACTCCCCGCAGGTGCTGTCCAAGCGCAATATCCACACGCTGTCGCCCCCACTGGAACCAAACCAAACGCTCCAGGACACTACGGCGGGCACGGCAGCATCATGCTGGTACCCCAAGCGGATGCTGCCGCAGCCCTGCTCCCTGCATCCCCAGCTGTGAATAAGCCCAGGCTGCAAGGCACGGCACTGCTGCCTCCTCGCTTTGATGCGTACTCCAATTAGAGACGGCCCAGCTGGCTTTTCCACCACAGGGTCGCATGTGCTGGTTGCCGTCTGCTCATCCCTCACTGCCGCTCTCAGGCTGGGTGATTTCCAGTTAGCTCTTCCCCTGTTGGGCCCGTGAGAGCCATTCATTTCACTTGGTAAGAATTAATGCCAAGCTCCACCTCCTCCTCCCTGGTTCAATCCATCCAGAGCATTTGCCCATTGAACGGCGTCGCCTGTTGTCCATAACCCACCCGATTTGGGTGGCATTTGCAAACTCATTAATAAAGCTAGCAATTCATATGAATCTACAAGCCAGCCTTTTCCGTTCCCATATGACACTCCCCCTCCCTACCCTGGGGATGGCCAGTATGCTAATTGTGGTTGTTTTTCATCCACTAGTTTCTAAATTTGGGGTCAGGAAGGCATTTTACCCCATGGTTAGATTGGTATGAACTTGGGGGGGGGGGGGGGTGCTTGCCTTCCTCTGTAATGAGAGGTGCTGCCTTCTCCCTGGGGTCTCTTGAGCCTATATTAACAACCTTTTACAAAAACAAAATATTGGCTGCTGTGGTCCCCCTGCTTCACCTGTGGCAGGTTCAGGTATTAGGTCATGTGTTGCAACAGGGATGATGGTAGTCTTAGTGCGAGGTTACACTGCAGATGTATAGAGGATGGTTTGGATAGGGCTGATCCTGCCTCTGGCTGGGAGGTGGGCCAGATGTGACCTCCGGAGGTCCCTTCCAGCCTCACTTCTCCAGGATTTCTAATGAAATGCATTTCCTCCCACCAGCGTTGAGTCAAGCGTCGGCAGCACATCTTCCCACGTGGACAGTGCTATGTGTGCCCGCAGCGGGAAGCATCCCAGATGTTCCCGCGCTGCGAGTTGGCAGGAGCAGCGGTTCGGCTGGGGGCAGATAAGAGCCGGTGTTGTATTACTATGGGCATGGCATGGAAGAGGGTGAAGGAGCACTATTTAGTGACAGCACCGCTCTCGCTTTCCTCTCGGCCCCACCAGTCTGCGGCTGCCGAGAGCCACCCTTTGCTGTGCATATGCTCCCACCAGCCAAAACCTCCTTGGCTGGTGCCAAACATTTTTAGCAACATTTTCTCTCATGCAATCAGACCGACCAGACTGGGGGCCTGCGAGCAGCTTCCAGTAGGCGTCCCCACTGCTTCAAATTGCTGCCCATCGTGGCAGGAAGCCGGCCATACAGCCTGCGGCCAGCTCCGGCCACAGGCCCCAGGACTTGGGTTGGGGCAGACTTGGAGCTGAAAAACATGAGATGGCTCCAGCCAAAGAGAGACTTGCCAGTCTAGATGAAATTAGCTGCTTTCCTGAGGGTTAAGACACTGGTGAAGAGCTTTGAAAAAAGGCATGTTTCCCGCCTGGAGGATTCACACGGGCTTTTTCCAGCCCCTTGATATAGGATCCTTAAGAACACACAGTGGATATGTTTCATCTGCTTCCTTTTATTTTTAGCTTGCATTAGGGTAACTTCCTGCAGCGTTTTCCAGGATCTTTTATGCATTAAGGTTTAACACCATTAAATGATGGGCTTTGCAGGTCCCAACAGAAGGGCAGAGAACGTCCCTGCAGAGCAGCAGCTTTTGTACCAAGAGTGGTCCTTCCTAGGGACCAGATGCTGGCCACAAAATCCTCCAGCTACACTTTAGGTAGCCCCAGCTGAAGCAACCAGCCCTACAATCAATCCTCCAGAACAGGACCAGGTCCAGAAGCACACCCGCCACGTCCCACAGAGAACGGTTCGAGACAGACCAGCCCAGGAGTCGCACATCTGCCAAACGCAATACATCACATGGCAAGAAAGACACACAGCCCACAGGGGATGCTTTTAGCAACATGATGCATTAGGAAAAAAAACCACCCCAAAAAACCTGTTGACTGGGATGCCGCGAGCAGCAAGGTAAACTGCCCCCCCGTAGCACACGTGACCGCATGCCTGGTGTTACATGTTACACGGCCTACCGGCTCTGCAGCTCCCAGCAGCCAAAACAGATTTATCATCCTGTTCTCAGTAAACCCGTTGGATGCACTTGCAATGCCAGCCTCCGAAACCTTCTCGTGCTCCGGGTCTCTGCTGCGCACGTCCGTTCCTCGTCTCAGACACGGAGCTTAATCCCCTCAAATTTACAAACAGTTAAAAATATTTTATGTGGCTCTGTAAAAAAAAAAAAAATCACATGCATTTAAAGCCATTTAGGGCCTGAATTATGTTTTTAAATCTCGTCCAATTGGTAAGCATCATAAAAAGCTGAAATAAGTTATCTTGGAAATAACACAGGGAAATTACAGTCCCAGCTTCCAGCCGAGAAGGTCACGACCTGTGTGTGGTGGCTTCATTGCTCTGTCCATGACTAATGCAAGAAACCAACTCGAGGGCTGCTGGACTGTCTTGGGACTATATTTTAGTTGTCTTATTGGCTATAACCCACGGCAGTTTTAAGAGTGATCTTTACTTGCTCACCTCCTGCCAGGAGAATTTGCCTTTGTTCAGACAGCTCATGTTCGAGTACGTGACACTTGTCCTCGCCGGCACAGACACAGAGAAGTGGCACTAAACTACATACCAGATGGCCTGCTGGGAACTGCCTGGGCATGGGCTACGAGTGAAGAGCAGCAGAGGAGATATCCGAGCAGCAGGAGGGATGGTGGTGCTCCGAGGCAGTGTACCGGAGAACAGGAGATGCAAAGGAACGGCTACGTTGGGCGCTTGTACACGCAACGTTTTTTGCCCTTTCCTGCATTTTATTATTCCCAGCGAATGCAGTGAGAGCAAGAGGACAGAGGTAGGCAGCCCGCAGGCATTTTCGTCACTGTTGTCCAGCCCTGGGTTAGACAACACGCCAACCACCTGTCTTCTGGCCACAAAAGGGCCCCTAGCACGACTGCCGCTAGCAAAGCATGGGGATGCACGGTGGGACTGGGTCTACACCAGTCGAGACAAGGCCTTATGATCTGAACTTTGCCAGTTTTATCACTAAGCTCCTCAAGACAGTGGTCCAGAGTTACTGCACATCACGAACGAGCACGTCCCTCCCAGCAATCCTTAGCTCCCCTTCCCACCGAGTTGAGAGCAGATGATACCTATCTGGAGACCATCCTGCCTCACCCAGCAGCAGACTGCTCCCTCCACTGCTGGCTTTTTTATGCCCACTGGGAGGCAAACCCACCCCCGAATACTTCTCCCCACTTCATGTCGCTATACTCCATGCAGAGAGCTTCTCCACCCAAGGCATTTAACACACGGTAAGCTACGGCATGAATGGTATTGCATACAAGCTGCGCCGCACGGATACTCTCGGCACGCCTCTATGCCCGGTGCCTTATTGCGCTCTGGAAGTGGAGTGAGCTGCCTTGCTTCAGACAGCAATGAGTGGCCACAAAACCAGTTTGTGGAGAGCAGCTAGTGCAAGAAAATCTCGCACCCAAGCTTACCACACCCTACGCGAGTCCTCCCCTCTCCGGCGCCTGCATCCTTCAGCTACTTGGAGACTGTTTTGTCTCCTTCAGCCATTACTTAGTGAAGCCCAGACAGACCCGAGCTCTGATCTTTCCTTTTAAAGTCAATCCCTCCAATTCCCTACATTTTTGTTTCCCTTTTCCCAACTCCCTCTCTTCTGCCAATACCTTCCAGGGAGGGAGGTGCAGAGGAAGCAGAAAAGCTGCCAGGTCACCCGGGCTTGGGGGAGACCTCAAATGAAAAGTCCATCACAGCCGGCTCCCCACTCCTCTCCCTCACCCCCCCGGGAAAGGGCAGGTCCGTACACAGCTAAATCCACACCAGGAACAGGGCTTGTGCGGAAAATGGCTCCAATGTCAGTCAACACAACCCTCCTTCAACTGTTTTGGCTTGTAGCTCCAGAGACCTCGGAGGGGATTCACAAGTTCGCACTTGTGAAGAATTTGACCCCTGTTCCAGATGCTGCAGTGTAGATGGGAACCATCAGCATTGCCTCTCTCCCCGTGGGGGGCATCTCTGCATGCACCCCAAAGCCAACTGGCGGGAAGGCCTGGCATGAAACACACGTGCATTTATCCCATTTATGAATAGGGAAGAGGCCACAAGAAAGGAGAGATGAGGGTGACTGCGAGGTCACGCAGGGAAAACCAGCACAGCCCCACTTGGGACAGGGCAACCGGCCAGACTGGATGGTGCTGACAAGCTGGCGCTGGCACGAGCGGTTCCTGCAGTCCCCAGAGCCCTGCACCGTGCAAGAGCTTGCATGAAAACGTGTCAGAAAACTAAACCGTGCCACAAGCGACGGAGGCACAGGCTGATCCAGAACAGAAAAGCAGAGGGGCTGCGGGCAGCAGCTGGCAGGAAATCCAGCCATGCAGCTCTGTTTCCAGTCTCAATCTGTCTCCAACGCAGAGGCGGTTTCCCAGCTCTGTGACCCTCTGTGATTCTTTCCAGAGCCGTACGTGAGGCTGTTTCATCCCAAGGATGCGGGCCGTTGCGCACGCTGCCCTCCTGCTTCCCTAAACCGCGAGCAGATTTCGCGCCGTGCCTTCAAAGGGAACGCGCCGGTGGCCCCGTCCAGCGCGCGGGCGTGCAGCTGGTGACGGGACAGTCTCACCTGGCAGGCAGCAGATGCCAGATCTGCAGAGCCACAGAGGCAGTAGGCACCGCGCTTCAAGGGGCAGGTTGCAGCGCAGGAAGGTGTTAACCAAGACCGACTGAGCAGGCTTCAATTAGGTTCCTGGCAGGGAATCAGAAAGCCAAGTTCTGTTGTGCTGCCAGGTCATCAATGGATCCATCAAGCGGTGCCTGCGAGGCGCCAAATCTATCAGCTTCCCCATATGGATGCCATCCACGGAGAGCCATTTCCTGCCTAATCGGTATCAGCCCTGCTCCTCCCTCCCCGACACGGCTCTTTACAGTGCGCTGTAACTCTGTACATAATGTTTTACAACAGGTAAAGCAACACCAAACAAATGCCCCGCACCCAGGGGCTTTGCAAAACAGGGGCCGCGCTGCCAGCGAGAGCTCAAATTCACTCCGTCGCAGGCCAAGGTCTTGCATCACAGGCTCCCGGCAGAGCAGGAAACCCTCGAGGCTGTGTCTGTCCCCACCACGAGACCTTGTGCTTCAGTCACCAGAGAAGTTGGAAGATCCCACCCCTGGGATTTCGGCAGCTGTGATCTGCGCCCCCCCAATGCAGATGCAGGTTACACGGAAGACCTGGGCCTGTAGGCATCAAGAAGGGCACCCGTCCCTCAATCTCCAGCCTGGACAGGGGGAGAGGGGGGGCAATGTATTCCCCAACAAGTGGCTTGAGCCTGTGCAGATGACTTGTGCGCCTTGTAAAAGGTTTCCCTGCATGAGACGGGGGTTATTTTGGCTTTCATGTGGTGTCTGGTGAAAGAGAGTCTGAAGCAGAGGCAGATAAAGAGAGGAAATTTCTTGGCATAGGGTTTCAGCTCTCCTGCCCTATAAACAGTGCTGACAGCAAGAGACGGCAGTGATGGACACCCAGATAAGATCCTAGATAGACAGGTAATTTGGGATAAGAGGTTTGTCTGGCAGTGTTTAGGGGAAAGTTGCCATGTGTTGTCAGAAAGCCTGTTCCACCCCCCTGGCAGGGCACTAAGATGGGCACTGGGCTCCCCCCGGGAAGTCCCCGCGCCGCTGGGCTCCATGATATCCATACAAAAGAGGTTTCGCCCCCCTCCTCCCCCACCTCATTAAAAACCACAGCTGACTTTCGGGAGGGCTCTGTAGAAGGATTCACCCCGGAGAAACCGTTTCTGCCGCTCACTCGGTGCAAGGAGAGGAGTTTAGCATTCTTGCCACCTCCAGGAAAACATTGCGCTCCTTCATTTGATGAGCTGTCACATATTCTTAAAGTTAAACACCTTCACAAACACACGCTATTCTGGGAAATAATTTCTCCTGTTTAAAGATTCATTGATATTGGTGTTGGAGAGAAAACAGCATTTCTTCCCTTCCTCCGGTCAGCCATCACGGTGGAGCAAGATCGCTTCTGATAACAATAAAAGCGCCACCTTGGCCCCTGGGATCATTTCACCAGCTCTCCAATTTGCACAGCCCTGAGTAAAGGCAATGTAAAGCCTAATGCCTCAAATATAGGGGCGTAAAATGTTTTAAGTGTGGACATAGCGGGTATAAATTATGAAGAATTTTAGGAAAATAGCTAAAGCACAACTCTTGTTCGAATGCTGTAAAACTTGCACGGAAGTGAAAATAATTCACTGTAGGAAAGTGGGATTGATCACGTGGCCAAGGTAAAGCAGGCGCTTATGCTATACCTTTAGTTTAAGGCATGCTAGTTTGGACTGGGCTCCTGTCTGATAGATTCCCCATTTCAACTTGCACTGCATCAGCAGGTCTGTTGGGTTACCAAAGAGAAACAGAAGCAATTACCGAGGGCATTGCAGAGAAACTCAATGATACCTTTGCATCAGCCTCCGCCGTAGAGGAAGGCAGGAAAGTTCCATTCTTTTCAAGTAATAGAATAAAGTATTAGATTAACCAGAGGTGTCAGAAATACCGGGGCAAGAGAGACGAGCAAGCCATGGGACCCAGATGCTTAAATCCCAAAGCAGCAAAGGATTTCAAGAATCAAGTAACTGCACTACTACCAGAGAGGCAAAAATCAGCTATTCTTTTGGAGTACAGGAGGGCAGGACATGTTTTAAATGCATGCAGGAGGCAACTCTGGGGATTACAAAGCAAACTGGTTATTATGGTAATTAAAGAGAGAATTTAAAAAACAAACAAACAACCATACAGGTCTACAAGACAAGACATCATGGGGCAAGCCAGCATACATCCCTTAAATGAAAAACTGTGCTTCTGTGTTTTACTATAATTATATCAGCTGGTCAAAATGATGGGTAAAGAAGAATAGCTCGACATACTGGATCTGGACTTCCCAAGAGCCGTGAGAAGTCCCTCCCAAGAGGCTACTGAACAAAGCATACAGTCACGGAGCAAGAAGCAAAAGTAGCATCATGGATTAGGACCTCACTGATCCAGAAAACAAAATAGGAAAGAAAGTGATCATTTTTCAATACGGCAAGATTAAGAGTAGGGGGTCCCAAGGTTCAATATTCATACCAACGGTTATACATATTAATAGTCAAGGGAAGCAGAAGCCTTCCACGCACGGTAGGAAAATCTGAAAAGGACCCAGG